GAATTTTGGGGGGATTTTTGGGGAATTTTTTTTGCATTTTTTAGGAATTTTTTGGGAAAATTCTAGGGATGTTTTAGGAATTTTTGGGGAGTTTTGGGGGGATTTTTTAGGAATTTTTTGGGATATTTTTTAGGAATTTTTGGGGGGATTTTTTTGGGATATTTTTTGGGATTTTGGGGGGATTGGATTTCTATTTTTTGGGAATTTTTGGGGGACTTCTAGGAATTTTTGGAATTTTTTTAGGATTTTTTTTTCTGACTTTTCAAATTTTTTTTTTCACTTTCTGTGTTTTTTGTCATTTTTGGATTTTTAGATTTTTTTGTGATTTATGTCACTTTTGGGGATTTTTTTGGATTTATTTTTTTTTGGATTTCAGGAAATTCTTTGAAGATTTTTTTATTTTTGAGGGGAATTTTTTTGGGTTTTTTGGGATTTCTTCAGGGATTTTTGGGAATTTTTATTGGAATTTTTTCAGATTTTTAGAGGCTTTTTTGATTTTTCTTACGTTTTGGGTTTTTTTAGTTTTTTTTAGATTGTTTTGGGGGATTTTTGGGGATCTTTTAATCAATTTTTTTTCAAGTTTGGGATTGTTTTTTGATTTTTAGGTGCTTTTTTGTGATTTACTTCACTTTTGGCGATTTTTTTTTTTATTTTTTGGATTTCTTTTGGATTCCAGGCGATTTTTCAACTTTTAATTTTGGTGGGAATTTTTTCAGGCATTTTTTTGGATTTTTTTCAAACTCCTTTCAAATTTTCTTCTTCCACTTCCTCTGATTTTTTTTTTTTTTTTTCCAGTTTTTCATCCATTCTTTTTTTTAATATTTTTTTAATTTTTTTTTTTTTCATTTTCATCCCAAAAAACTCCCTGGGGATTTTCCCCATAATTCCCAAATACCTTCAAAGCCTCTCCAGCGGCGCAGAGGCTCCGAATTCCATCGGATCCGATCCCGGTTCCCGTCAAATCCAAGCGAACCAAGCGAGGCAGAGTCACCAAAGTGACCCCGAGCTCGGAAATTCCCGAATCCGCAATTCCCAAATTCCGGAGCCGCAGCTCCCGCAGCTGCTCCTGCAACTTCAGCGACCTCAAAAACGCCGGAATTTGAGCCGGAGGGATCCTGATCCCACCCGGAATTTCCAGCCTGGAATTTTGGGATTGAAGCTCCAGGAGTTTTAGGAGAGGTGGGAAAGGGGCTGGAAAAAAAAAGGGGAAAAAGGGAATTTTTGGGGGATTTTTTGGGGATTTTTTGGGGATTTTTTGGGGATTTTTTGGGGATTTTTTGGGGATTTTTTGGGGATTTTTTGGGGATTTTTTGGGGATTTTTTGGGGATTTTTTTGGGATTTGGTGGGAATTTTTGGGATCATCCCATGGGAATTTCCTCTAAAAAAATAACAAAAATATTCCTAAAAAAATAGGGAATTTATTGGATTTTTTTGGGATTTGGTGGGAATTTTTGGGATCATCCCATGGGAATTTATCCTAAATAAATAACAAAAATATTCCTAAAAAACTAGGGAAAAAAGGGAATTTTTTGAATTTTTTTGGGGATTTGGTGGGAATTTTTGGGATCATCCCATGGGAATTTCCTCTAAAAAAATAACAAAAATATTCCTAAAAAAAAAGGGAATTTATTGGATTTTTTTGGGATTTACTGGGAATTTTTGGGATCATTCCACTGGAATTTCCTCTAAAAAATAACAAAAATATTCCTAAAAAAATAGGGGAAAAAAGGGATTTTTTTGGATTTTTTTGGGGATTTGGTGGGAATTTTTGGGATCATTCCACTGGAATTTCCTCTAAAAAAATAACAAAAATATTCCTAAAAAAATAGGAAATTTATTGGAGTTTTTTGGGATTTAGTGGGAATTTTTGGGATCATCCCATGGGAATTTATCCTAAAAAAATAACAAAAATATTCCTAAAAAAATAGGAAATTTATTGGAGTTTTTTGGGATTTAGTGGGAATTTTTGGGATCATCCCATGGGAATTTATCCTAAAAAAATAACAAAAATATTCCTAAAAAAATAGGAAATTTATTGGAGTTTTTTGGGATTTAGTGGGAATTTTTGGGATCATCCCATGGGAATTTATCCTAAAAAAATAACAAAAATATTCCTAAAAAAATAGGAAATTTATTGGAGTTTTTTGGGATTTAGTGGGAATTTTTGGGATCATCCCATGGGAATTTATCCTAAAAAAATAACAAAAATATTCCTAAAAAAATAGGAAATTTATTGGAGTTTTTTGGGATTTAGTGGGAATTTTTGGGATCATCCCATGGGAATTTTCTCTTAGAACATCCCAAAAATATCCCTAAAAAACTAGGAAAAAAGCAATCCAAAATATCCACAAAAAAAAATAAAATTCCTAAAATTTCCCCCCCAAAAATTGGAAAAAATATTCCCAAAAGATCTTAAGAAATTTTTAAAAAGTCCTAAAATATTCCCAAAAAATCCCCAAAAATATTCCCAAAAAAATTTAAAAAAGGGAATTTTTTGGGGGTTTTTTGGATTTTTATGGAAGATTCGGTGGGAATATTTGGGATCATCCCATGGGAATTTCCTCTGAAAATTCCCAAAAATATTCCTAAAAAAATTGAAAAAAACCCCCATCCAAAATATGGGAAAAAATAAAAAAAAAACCTCCTGAAGTACCCCCAAAAATTAGAAAAAATATTCCTAAAGTTTTTAAAAAAATTTTTAAAATAATCCTAAAATATTCCAGAAAATCCCAAAAATATTCCCAAAAACTAATAAAAAACTCTTTAAAATATTAAAAAAAACCACTCCAAATATTCCCTAAAATTCCCTCAAAAATTCCCACAAAATCCCCAGAAAATTCCCCCAAAATTCCCCAAAAATTCCCAAAAAATCCCCAAAAAATTACCTTAAACTCCCGCTGAAATTCCCACAAAATCCCCCCGAAAATTCCCACAAAATTCCCCCAAAAATTCCCTTAAAATCTCCAGAAAATCCCACAAAAATTCCCACAAAATCCCCTTAAAATCCACAGAAAAATCCAAGAAATCCCCCAAAAATTCCCTTAAAAACCCCCAAGAATTCCCATAAAACCCCCAGAAAATTCACATAAAATCACCAAAAAATCCCAAAAAATTCCCACAAAATCCCCTTAAAATCCCCAGAAAATTCCCCCAAAAATTTCCCAAAAATTTCCCAAAAAT